AGTGGGCGTCCATAATGACTAAGAACATTGAGCCCATAAAAGGACCTCGATAGTCAATGTGCAACTGATTCCAGGGTTTACCCGGCCATTCCCATGTATGTAGGGGAGCTACATGTAGGGCAGCAGTAATTTTTGTCCTTGTCGGCGCTCTGGGCACTGCCCCACCAATGCAATTATGCCTGTATCCAATCCGCGACCCCCCAGACATGAATGCTCACCCATATCTTCATTTTGGAAATCCCTGGATGACCCTGGTGGTGTTCAGCCAGTAACTGGAGGCCACCAACAATCACTCTTGCTCCCCATAATAAAATACCATCCTCTCTTGTGATCTGGCCTCTCCAGGTCCTAAAAGATTTCACATTTGGTTGTGCACTATTTGGTTTCTCCCATTATCACCAGCTGTTTCAGTTTTAGATCTTTTTGCATCCGATGTCTGATATTGTCATCTGTGACTGGAAGTTTGTCTAGAAAATTTAAAACCATTAAGGGTTCTTCCAGTGGCAGGACCACCGGTGGTGTATCTGCCATCGGAGGCAGCTCAGTGCATCCACATTCGCTACTTGGCCTCCCGGATGGTGTTCCAACTTGTAATTATACACACTTAGTATTAGAGCCCACCACTGAATTCAGCTGGATGCTAATGGTGGCACTGCCTTGTCCCCTTTAAGTAAATCTAACAGAGGTTTGTGGTCCATTATTATTTACATCCATAAAAGTATTGGTGGAACTTCTGGATTCCAAATATGACTGCCAAACCTTACTTCTCTATCTGGACATATTTATTCACTGCATTAGCCAAAGTCCTGGATGCATACATTATTAGGTGTTCCTCTCCATTGGGCCACCGATGAGCTACTACCATCCCAATGGCGTACGGGGAAGCATCATGTAACAATACCAGATCTCACTTGGGATCATGGTGTGCCAATATCTTGGAGGATGATCGCTTTTTCTTCACTTCCCTGAAAGCTATTGCTTGACTACGCAATCGTTTCTAAAGCTGGCCCTTTTTTAGGAGTTGATGCAAAGGTGCCAGAATGGAGGCCAGGCTATGTACGAACTCTGTGTAATAATTCATCAGCCCAAGGAAAGACATAACCTCCGGAACAGACATGGGAGCCAAGGCATCTTTTCATCGCCCTCACTTTATCTTCCAACAGGTGTGACCAAGTTGTGACAGCTCTGTTGTCCAAGTAGGTAACTTGTGGTACCAGGAACACACAGTTCTTCCCTTCTAAGGCATATCCCCAGGGAGAAATGTCTATGTACTATATCCAAGTTCTCTAAGTGCTCCTTATTGGTCTTCTTTGTTTTTAGCACGTCCTCTGGATAAATGGAGACTGGGGTGGGGGGTAGACCTTGTAAAATATCTCCACTGCCTGCTGAAAAATTGCCAGGCTGATGATAGCCCGAATGGCAGTCTCGTATATTGGTACCAAGCATTATGGGTATTAATTGTAGCATACTTCTGAGATTCCTCATCTAACAGCAATTGCAAGCACTCACGGTTCATGCCCAGCTTCGTGAAGGACAGCCCTCCCTGCCAGCTTCGTGTATAAATCCTTGATGCAAGGGATTGGGAATTTATCCAGCTGTGAAAAGCAGTTTACTGTATGTTTAAAATCCCCACAGAAGCAGACAGACCTGTTGAGCTTGTCTATCGGTACAACTAGTTCCGCCCATTCCGCAAACTGTACTAGTTTCGTAATTCCTTCGCTTTCCAGCCCCCAGGATTTGCAGATCATGAAATGCTTCCTGGACAACATGCAAAGTGGCCTTGGTTCCTTTGATACTCCCTAGACCTTCCTGAAAATCTTCCAGGTGTTTAAATAGGTGTTCACTCAGGCAGCCATTTTCTACTCAAACTATGTTGAGCCAGTCTAGATTAATTTTTCTAAAACAATTTTGCCCCATTAAGCTTCAGCCAGAGCCTTTTACTATGATCAGTGCTAACTGAACCAGCTGCTTCTCATAAGAAACAAAAACAAAGTTGCTGGAAAAGCTCAGCAGGTCTGGCAGCATCTGTGGAGGAGAAAACAGAGTTAACGTTTCGGGTCCGGTGACCCTTCCTCAGAACTCAGAGCTTCTCATTAGAGGCTGGAACCGAAATTGTACCCTTAATCTGCAATGGTTCCCCAGGAAAGGTACTCAGTCAAGCCAAGGTCTTGTACAAACTTGAGGATTCAAGTCCAGTGTGAATTTTCTTAAAGACTGGTTTTATGGTCACTGAAACAGCCATGCCGGAATCAACCACCATTAGAACTGGGTGACCAATTCGGTAGATGTTTATTTTAGTTAGTTTTGTTTTGGACGTTGCTCAGGAACTTAACTGTTTCAAACCAGATGTAGGTGGTCTTTCCAGTGCGTGCATTGTCGTGGATACCGGCTTAAGTTCTTTCACTCAATTTAAGTCTGGTAGAACTCTTTTGCTGTGCAAAGTCTGCATACTGGCTTGCCGGCCCAGATCCTGAAGAAAATTTTAACTGTTTGGCCAAGGCTTGCTTTAGTTTTGAGGTTTTGCTGTGAGCTGACCCAGAGTCCCACTGTTCAGGACATGTCCTGCATGAGGCTATGCAATTGCCTTCACTTGTGTTCCCCAAGCTCAGTTGGATTGGCGAGGGTGTCCACTTCCATTGGAATACCCTGTAACCCATGTGCTCCACTTGCCGCATTTTCTAAATGACAAAGCCAGTTGTAGTGCCTCTCTCAAGTTCAGTTGGGCTTCAACTAGTAGGTGCTTTTGCATTAATCCCATATACCAAATGGTTTCTCAGCATCTCATTAAGGGTTAAAATAAAGTCACATGCCTCTATCAGTCTTCTTAACCGAGTCAAGTTTCCTGATATGGATTCCTTGGTTCTCGAATTGCCAAGTAAAAATGACAGCATCTCAGAATTAGAGGCGGCTTGGGTCATAATATTTCTTAACCCAACCCATCAAGTCTTGAAAGGTTTTCATATCTGGTGCCTCGAGGAAAGTTGGGCTTCAAATAACCGAAATAACTGTGGGTCCACAAGCTGTCAGCAGAATTACTCATCTGCTAATTTCATCTGCCCGGAGGAAAAAAATGCACTCTTTCCACATACTGGGCCTAGTCCTCAACGGAGGATCGAACGAGTCAAGCTTCCCAAATAACAGCACGATCCAGAAATGCTTACTTGAACTCAAAGATGACTGTTGCAAGCAATTTTCTTCAGGAGCATGCTTTATTCTCATCGCCACAGAAATAACTCCACAGAGGCTGGTATCCCATCACTATGTCACCCTTTATTTACACGTGCAAAATCCCTGACACTGAGCCAGCTCCTTCAAAACCTGCAATCAGAGTCTGACAATGTCTGACACTCCTGTTTATATCTGTCAGCCAGGGCTCCCTGATTGGACCACATTAACAGCCTCAATCAGGGAATTCAGATTCTATGATGTGCAGCTGGCTGACCATGTTACAATCACTACAGCTATATAAGCAGGAAAGGAACTATGAAGATGAAGCAAAGATGCTGCAAAGTGGTAGAAGTAGGTTGAGAGTAGACAAAGATCTGGCAAATGTGGGTAAAGTTTCAAAAAAAATGAAACTGTCCCATTTTGGCAGGAAGAATAAAAAAGAAGCACGTTCTCAAATTGGTGAGAGATTGTACAACTCTGAGATACATAGGGATCTGGGTGTCCCAGTGCATGAATTACAAAAAGTTAGTGCACAGTTTCAGAATGTTATAAGGAAAGCTCATAGAATATACTTGTTTATTGAAAAGGGAATTAAATCAAAAGTAAGGAGGTTATGCTTTAGGGTAGTATACGTGTAGTACTGTGTACGGTACTGGTCTACATATTTAAAGGATGCACATTCAGTGAAACAGTTCAGAGAAGGTTTACTTGGCTGGAATTGGTAAAAATGTCGAATGAAGAAAGGTTGGACAGTTTAGCCTTGTGTAGAGGATGTTTCCTCTTATGGGAGAATCTTTAACTAGAGGTCACATTTTGAAAATAAGGGCCTGTGCATTTGAAACAGTAATGAGGAGAAATCTTTTCCTCTCAGAGAGTCAAAATTCTCATGCAGAACAGACTCAATGAATATTTTGAAGGCAGAGGTATGTAGATTCTTCATTAACAAGGGAGTCAATGGCTATCACAGTTTGGCAGCAAAGTGGAACTGTGACCAGAGTCAGGTCAGCCATGATCTTGTTGAATGGTAGAGCAGGGTAGAGAGGTCAGTCTCCTCCTGCTCCTAATTCACATTTCCTCTCCTATGTACTAATAATGTGTGACAGAATGGTCAGTGTCAAAGATGTGAAATAAGTCAAAGATGAGAAGAGGGAGCAAAATAATTTCTGCAGCTACTCAGAATTTTGCTCATGGTATGGACAGACCGGAAACTGAAGTTGAGAGATCTTGAATGAAGAAAGGTGAGCACCTATTCAGGTAACGAGAACAAGTTCAAAGAAGTAGGGCAGCATCCACAGAGAGATAGTGGACTTGAAACACTATCTCTGTTAGTCTCTGCATAAATGCAGCTTGACCAGCTGAGGATTTACAATGTTTTCTGTTTCTCTATCAAATTTCCAGTATTCACAGTATTTTGCTGATATTCAATAAGTTTAAAAGTCTTGGACAGAAACATTACATTTGATATGTGACAATGATTTTTTTTTGAGAACATTTGGATCACATTTCCAAAATTGGTAATGTTGCCCTGTTAGAAAACATCCCGATTTCCAGTGTTACACATCAAAATGATTCCTAAACAAGTTGGTTTGCTTTTTAAGACTGTTCTCCCTTACTATGGATTACTTCCTCAGAGAAAAACGCTTCTCTGCATAGACCCTCTTGAATCCCTTAATTGTTTTAAACACCTTGACTAGATTTCCTTCAACATTCCTAAACTGATAATAATACAAGCCAAGTTTACACAAGCTGATTTCAAACAATTTTCCAGTACTTTTCCTTTGATCACAAAGTTAAGTCAGACTTGTCAACAGCACAATTATTTTCCAATGTACCTGTGCAAAGGGAGATAGGCCAGCATCTCGCTTTTCTCTTTCCGTCAACTGTTGTGGGATTGTAATTTCGTAGGCAGACAGTTTTAATGTTTGGTAGGATGTTGAATGTAAGTCATCTATGAAGTAAAACAGGAATATAAAATTGAGTTCAAGTGTAACGCAGCAATACTGCTATTAACATTTATACAAGGAATTTGAAAAGCTCTGTTCATAAGTTGCAACAGGATATAATTTTTGAGTCCAAGGAGCTAGTGAGGTGCCCACCATTTGATCAACATTTTTCAAGCTCAGTCCTGATGGTTGTGTGATAACCTCCAAACAGGATCAACAATGACCTGCTTTTTGTTGGCTTGCCTAAACAGACAGGTAAAACAGGTAAAAACATACTTACCTTCAAGAATGATTAAGCTATTTTGAAGATACAAACATTTTCTTCATTTTTGAAAGAAGAGTGCATCAATACATTGCACCTTTCTTGATCCTTTCCAGCTTTCCAGAAGACAATGTTATTCCTGATAGAAGTGACCTTACTTTCTCCCATTGTCCCTTCATTCTTGCACCAAGTCCCTTCAGCTCAGATGAACCCATCATGTGTCACTGCACTGTCATTGTCTCAAGCAGTCAAGTTCCAAAGTGACAGGGCCACCCAGCTGCACAGTTCACTCATACAGTCAAAGAGTTGTACTGCACATAAACAGCCACTTCGGTTGAACTCGTCCATGCCAACCAGATATCCTAAATTACTCTAGTCCCATATGCCAGCATTTGGCCCACATCAAACTAAACCCTTCCTATTCATACACCCATCCAGATGCCTTTTAAATGTTTTAATTGTACCAGCCTTGACCACTTCCTCTGGCAGCCGATTCCAAATATACAAACTCTCTGTATGAAATGTTGCCCCTTTGGTCCCTTTTAAATCTTTCCCCTCTCACCTTAAAACTATGCCCTCTAGTTTTGGACTCCCCTACCTTGTGGAAAAGATCTTGGTTATTCACCCTTAGCCATGCCGTTATGATTCTATGAATCCCTACAAGGTCACCCCTCGGCCTCAGACGTTCCATGGAAAATAGCTCCAGCCTATTCAGCCTGTTCCGATTGCTCAAACACTCCAAATCTAGCAACATCCTAGTAAATCTTTTCTTCACCCTTTCAAGTTTGATAATATCCTTCCTAAAGCACGGAGACCAGAATCGAATGCAGTATACCAAAAGTGGCCTAACCAATGTTCTGTAAAGCCTCAACATGACCTCCCAACTCCTATACTCAATGCACTGACCAATATAGGCAAGCATACCAAATGCCTTGTTCCTGTTTCCATGAGACCCCACTTTCAAGGAACTATAAACCTGCAGCCCAAGATCTCTTTGTTCAGCAACACTCCCCAGGACGTTACCATTAAAGTGTATAAGTCCTGCCCTGACTTGCCTTACCAAAATGCAACATCTCACCTTTATGTAAATTAAACTCCATCTGCCACTCTTCATCCAATCATTTCATCTGATCAAGATTCCATGTTATATTCTTGAGATAACCTTCACTGTCCACTACACCAATTTTGGTGTCACCTGCAAACTTACTAACCATTACTCCTATATTCACATCTAAATCCTTTATATAAACAATGAAAAGCAGTGGACCCAGCACCAATTTTTGCAGAGCACCGCTGGTCATATGCCTCCTGTCTGAAAAGCAACCCTCCACCACCACCCCTGTCTCCTACCTTGAAGCCAATTTTACATCAAATAGCTAGCTCTCCCTGGATTCCATGTGATCTAACCTTGCTAACCAGTCTAGTGCAGCTTGATGGCTCAGTGGTTAGCAGTGCTGCCTCACAACACCACATACCCAGGTTCGATTCCAACTTAGAGCAACTGTCTGTGTGGAGTTTGCACGTTCTCCCCCTATCTGCGTGAGTTTCGGCCAGGTGCTGCAGTTTCCTCCCACAGTCCAAAGATGTACAATTAGGTGGATTGTGCTAAATTTGCCCATAGTGTTCAGGGATATGTAAGTTAGGTGCATTAGCCATGGGCAATGCAGGGTTGCAGGGATAGGGTGGGATGTTCTTTGGAGGGTGAGCGTGGACTTGTTGAGCCAAATGGCCTCTTTACACAGTGAAGGGATTCTGAAATCTACCATGCAGAATCTTGTCGATCTAAGGCAGGGCAAGTGACTGACGTATCAGTGAGGAAGCACTTTGGGGCAAGTGATCTTAATTCTATTAGTTTTAAAGTAGTTATGGAAAAGGATAGACTTGATCTAAAAATTAAAGTTCTAAATTGGAGTAAGGCCAAATGTGATGGTTGTGGGCAACAGCTTTCAAAAGTTGATTGGGATAGGCTATTCACAGGTAAAAGGACACTTTTAAAGTGAGAAGCCTTCAAAAAGGAGATAACGAGAGTCCACATAGACAAGTCCATGCTCTGCCTTTATCAATCCTTTGCCACTTCTTCAAAAAACCCCATCAAGTTACTGAGATACAATTTCCCACACACGAAGCCATGTTGACTATCCCTAATCAGCCCTCGCCTTTCCAAACACGTCAATCCTGTCCTTCAGAATCTCCTCCAAAAACTTAATCACTATTGACCTCAGGCTCACCAGTCTATAGTTCCTTAGCTTTTCCTGACCATCTTTCTTAAATAATGGCACCACATTAGCTACCCTCCAGTTTTCTAGCATCTCACCCATGGTTATCTATGATACAAATATCTCAGCAATGGGCCCAGCAATCACTGCCCTAGCTTCCCACAAAGTTCTGGAATACACCTGATCAGATCCTGAGGATTTATCCACCTTTTTGTGATTTCAGACATCCAGCATCTCCTCCTCTGTAATGTGGAAACTTTTCAAGGTATCATTATTTATATCTCCAAGTTTTCTAGCTTCCATAACGTCCTCCACATTAAATACTGAAACAAAATACTCATTTAGTATCTCCCCCAATTCCTGCAGTTCCACACAGAGATGGCCTTGTTGATATTGAAGTGGGAATGGCAAAATAAGAAAATTTTTGAAAAGTGATGGTTAGCACTGCTGCGTCACAGCAACAGGGACCCAGATTTAATGCCAGCCTTAAGTGACTGTGCAAAGTCCACACAGACATTCTCCACATGTCTGCATGGGCTTCCTCCAGATGGTCTGGTTTCCTCCCACAATCCAAAGATGCGCACGTTAGGTGGATTAGCCATTCTAAATTGCCCATAGTGTCCAGGGATGTGCAGGCTAGGTGGGTAAGCTACGGGAAATGCTCCGTAAATTCTTTAAGGAGCCCTGTTCTATCCCTAGTTACCCTTTTGTTCGTAATGTATTTGTAGAATCTGTTTGGATTCTCCTTATCTTCTTTTTCCAAAGCAACCTCATGTCCCCTTTTTGCCCTTCTGATTTCTTTCTTATGTATAATCCTACTGCCTTTATACTCTTCTAGGGATTCACTTGATCTCTGCTGTCTATACCTGCCACGTGCCTTCTTCTTTTTGACCACAGCTTCAATTTCTCTAGTCATGCAGCATTCCTTACACCTACCAGCCTTGCCTTCACCTTAACAGGAACATACTGCATCTGGACTCTCGTTATCTCATTTTTGAAGGCTTCTCACTTTCCAAGTGTCCCTTTACCAGTGAATAACCTCTCCCAATCAACTTTTGAAAGCTCTTGCCCAATACCGTCAAATTTGGCCATACTCTAATTTAGAACTTTTAGATCAAGTCTATCCTATTCCAAAACTAGTTTAAAACTGATAGAATTATGATCACTTTCCCCAAAATGCTTCCTCACTGACACCCGAGTCACTTGCCCTGCCTTAGCTCCCAACAGAAGATCAAGTATTCTCCTTCTCTAGCCGGTACATCTAATTACTGAGTAAGAAAATTTTCTTTTACACGTTTAACGAATTCCTCTCCATCCAAGCCCTTAGCATTATGGCAGTCTCAGTCAATGATTGGAAAGTTTACAACCATGACCTAATTTCATCAGCCTTACCTGTCAGGCCTCTTGCATTGAAATACATGCAGCTTAATTTGTCAGCCTTACCTTGTTCTCTTCCCTGCTTTTGCCTGCCTTGACTATTTGATTTGCTACTCTTCTCAACTGTACCAATCTCAGACTTATCTCTTTTCTCAATACCTCTTTGGGTCCTACGACTCCCCCCCACCCTGCTTCCAAGTTTAATGCCTCCTGAGTACCACTAGCAAATCTCCCCGCAAGGATACTGGTCCCTTCCAATTCAGGTGCAACCCATTCTTCTTATGCAGGCCACTCTCTGAGAAACAAATCCAGACAGAAATCTTAACATGTTCAAATTTCCTTTAGTCAACCTTTCGTCAACCTTGAGAGGAGCAGTTCTTTGTTTAACAATAAAAAACTTGGACTGCCTTATGCATTCCAACATTTTCACAGTAAAGTTGGCACTTTTCACACAATTGGCAAGAGGCCCAGTTCATAACTTGTGAATCTATGTGGATTCTACCTGCCACTTTTCCCAAGTGGATTTCTTACCTACATCACAATTACTCCCTTCTGGTGACCATGTGTTTTCAAATGACCGTTAATACAAACATAGCCTAATATCTGATGCATTCTTGGAAAGGGTCATGTAAACGTAAGAACAGCTGCTTTTGTTTTGTTGTCAGAAATCTGTGCGGCTTTGCAAATAAACACAGCTCACAGTGCTTAGAAGCACTATTTCATCGTCAGTCATATTAAAGCAAGTGATGTTAGACAGTGAACTGTTCAACCTCAATTTCTTCTAATTCCCTGTTTTGTCTGCATCTCAGTGGTTACATACGGCAAAGCACTCATGTCCAGAAGCTAACCAATTTGTCACTTAACTTGTTGTTTTTCTGTTTTGGACAGTTAGAGTTCTTATTACTGGGTATAATTAGTTCCATTTCAATATTATTAATGCAAGACATGAGAAAATAGTCATCTACCTGCAGATCACAGACAAAGACTTGGAATTCTTTAGTCTTCAGTAATATTTAACCCAAGTCTTCAGTAATATTTGTACAATACAAAAAGCTGTGTATCACTTTTGTCACAATGACATTACTAACCCACTGTTTCCTGGAGTTACCTCCTCCTCTTATCAACTTGGCTGTGCCCTGCAAAGTCAGCT